GCTTGAATTTTGGCTGCGAGAGAATTGAACCAAGGGCCATTGGTTTTCCTTTCGAAACAAAACCAGGTGAGGTTGGAGAGATTTTTGAGGGAAATGACATGAGGTTAAAAAAGGGTAAATTGCGCCAAACCCCCCTGTATTATACGAAATCTGCATCTTATCCCCCTGTATTTTAAAAAATGCGTCATACCACCTTGTATTATACTTTTGATTGCGCGTTATCCCCTAAACTCATATAATACAAGAGGGTATGACGCATTTTTAGGGGATAACGCGCAATTAAAAGTATAATACAAGGGGGTACGATGCATTTTTTAAAATACAAGGGGATAAGGCGCAAATTTCGTATAATACATGGGGGTTTGGCGCAATTTACCCGTTAAAAAAGTGAACAGCGGCTGGCTGGAGCAGGCCACCGATGACGGTGGCCAGCGGTCGCGGCTAGAGGACTGCGGCGGACCACAACCAAAGGGGTTGGAAGAATTTTAGAGAGAAATGTATAGAGAAGGGAGAGCATTTTGTTGTGTGTCTATATGTCTGATGTTGCTAGGTTAGTTGTATTTACTTACTAGGTTAGTTGTCTATGGATGCTAGGTTAGTTGTGTTCACTTGCTAGGTTAGTTGCCTTATGGTGCTATGTTAGTTGTATTTAGTTGCTAAGTTAGTTGATTGTAGATGCTAAGTTAGTTCTATTCACTTGCAAGGTTAGATCTGTCTAGCTCCTAGGTAAGTTGTCTCCAGTTGCTAGGTTAGTTGTCCCTTGCCGCTAGGATAGTTATGACTAGTTGCTAGGTTAATTGATCATACATGCTAGATTTCAGAAATTGAACATTATATCATAAAACAAAGTTTCTGACTAACGTGATCAATTATTTCAGAAATCGAACATTATGTGTTCTGACTAACATAAAAAAACAATTGTATCGGGATCAAAATCAACAACATCAACTTCATCAACATTGAATAATTTAAATTTCAACTACTGCATCAAAATTAAATTCAACAATATTATCATAATCAACATCAAAATCAAGTGAATACCTTCTTTCATTACTGCCGGCAATGGAGATGCTTCGATCTCTATTGATTTATCCTCCATCGTCATTGCAGTTTATTCAAATTTCTCAGTAATCCTTCAATCATTGCTTTTTTTTATTGCGCGATTCTCTCTGTCGGAAAGTTGAGATTGAGAAAGTACTCTGATCGAGAAGGTAATCAAATTGAAAAGAAAGTTTAGATTGAGAAGATATTTTTCGCGATTATTTGTGTCGATTTTTGCGCGATATTTGAATTTGTGTGTGATTTGAATTGTGCATGTTTAATGTATATATAATATATATAATTACGCGAAGGTGAATTGTGCGTGTTTAATGGACGGTCAATATTGGGTCTCACGTCCGCATTACAAGAGTGGGTCTCATTTGATCCACTCCTTATATTAACACAGCACATGATATATACATACATATATATATATATATATATATAATATGCTATGTTAATATGAGTTTTAGTAAATTTTAAATGTTTTTAACTATTTATTAAGAAATGCCTAGAGCATTTAAGAAAAAGAGAACACATATCAATAAATTGTTGAATTTTTATTTAGTAAAATCTTCATTATTTGAAGCATCTTGATTTTATTAATGATGGGTGGTCAATTTATGTTATAATATTTTATTGATAAGCTGGTTTTTGGCAATCAAATTAGTCAAATATATATAAAATCAAGAGTAGGAGATATTATGTGATTTAGTTGAGAAATATTGTTTTTAAATGATATTTTTATAATAAAATGGTGAAGTTTGTCTCTTAAAAAACAGCTATAAATAGGAGAATACATCCATTCTAGTAGTATCTCATGAAAAATAGAAGAAGAATTTTATAAGTTAAAGAAATAGCAAGAATCAAGCAAGTTCGAGTAGAACCGAGCATTTCCGAAAGTGCATGAATCAAGTTTTCTTGCTTTCTTTCCTTAAGTTTTGAAAAGGTATGTTATTAAATCTTAATTGCATCATTTATAGTTAAGAATTATAAGTGTATATATGTGTTTTAAATATGCTATCATGATTAGTAATTTTATTATTAAGTTATAAATAAGCATGCCATGAGATTAGAGAATATGTTCATTTCGGATATAGATAATGCAGCCTCTGTTGGATCAATTTTGACCAAGCAAATGAGTTCCAAAAATTATGAAAATTTTTATAGTAATGTAATTTATGGTTATATTGAGGATATTCCTGTAAAATTTTAGATTATTTGGAGTTGAGATGAATTTTATAAAAATCATTAATTGGAGTGTTGTCCAAAGAAAATTCTGGGTAGTATTGATTATTTGTGACCTTGAATTTGCCTAGATATTGATATCCTGTTAAATTGAACTTTTTATGGTGAATCCATATGTAAGTTAGTAATCTATAGTTAAAATTCCAGCATAATTGAACTTGTGTAGCATGCTATAGAAAATAATAAACTTAAGTGGGTCAGTTATGAAATTCAGCAAGTTAGGTGTTGTTTAAGTAACTGTATCTCATCTTATGGTTATGATTTTGACTTGAAAATTTACTGAATACTTCTTGTGTGAATTGAGAGTAAAGATATAAAAATTGAGAATTTTTAGATTCATGTAGCATGAGATATAGATTTTTAAAGAGAAGCATGCAAGTGTATTTTAGTGTTTTGCAACTTTGAATTAGTATATTTCAATGTATGAGTATTCTTTAAATGTGAAATCTTGATGAGAATGAATATCATGAGTTGTGATTATGAATGTCAAGTTTAAGCTCTATTGTTAATTTAGTATTTTTTCGAGACGAGTTCGAACGTTCTAGGCTTCATTTTTTTCGATTCTTTCAGTTTTTCGTCTAGTCGAGAGGAGATATAAATCTTGACTATTATTTTAGTTAATTCCAAGATTTTTCTTAGTATAAATTTTAGTATTATCACAGCTAAATACATGTGTAGAAATTGATAGGACCCTTATATTAATGTAGGTATTTGACGAGCCGAGCTCGCCGCCTACACATATTTTTGTGATATCTCTCGCTATTTACCATGTGGGTGCATTTGTTGTATCTATAATTAGCGCACTTGTTATTTGGTATAAATGTTCGTTTCAATAGTTGTTGTATGCGTGAGAACCCTAGTCTAAGTGTCTCGTCGATAGTGCCTTTCATGAATGCATAAGCAGTGAGTGGTCACCTGCACGTTGTATCCGGGAGAAAGACGCCCTGATCCGTGTGGTTTTTTTTTTTTTTTTGGAGGGGGGGAACAACTCTACTGTATCCTGAAAAGGATCCCTTTGCCTATGTCGAGTTAGGGAGGGAAAGTTTTCGGTTACTCATTGTCGATGTCTGATCGGAAGGTTGTTGTATGTAGATAGGAGGTTTGTTATAGGGCCGTATAGGGAATTAAAAAGACAAGGTAGTTTAAGCAATTAGGCCTATTTGTTATTAATTCTTCGTGTACAATATATCAAATTAATAATTTTTTTAATAAGCCTCGATTTGATATCCATTTTTTGCATATAAAATATAATCAAAGTTTTTAATTTTTGTTATTATAAAAGTATCTTCTAATATTTAATACTAATTAAAAAGCTATTAAATTAGGTATCAATTAGAAAATTTCTCTACAAATTATCATATGAATTAAAAATATTATTGTAATATATATAGGGCAAATTGTATAAATGAAAGCTCTCATTTTAATTTAAATATTATCAGACTTTTAAAAAAAATAGAAATTTAAATGAAAAACCATTTCTCTTGAATTTTTACATGCAATTTTTCAAAAAATATTTGAAACTCGAATAAAGAAACTTCTCAGTTATAATTTTTAAGAATTTCGGAATAAAATATTTACACCAGCACCCTTGTAATCACATCTGTTCCATGCCATCAAGGGTGTTGTACTCCTGCTGAATAGTTTACAATTAAGTAAGATGCAAACTCTAAAAATAGTTTCAAATCCCATATAGTAAATGCGATTATAGAAAGAAATCATGAGTCAAGAGCTTCACATTAAAATCATGAACTCATTATGCAACCATGGTTTAATAGAGACACCATTCAAAATATCCCCCGAATTCCAGCTTCCACAAGCACAACCAAGGGGCCTATCCATCCATAAATATTAGGCTAATTTACGCATCTTCCCACCATTTGGAAAGATTTTACGCATATACGAACAATTAAACGTAATTGCACTTTAGTGATTGTTTATAAATTAATTTGTCTTATATACGAAGATGATGAATTCATCTATCGTAATGATCTCTCTCTCTCTCAATTGTAGGGATGGCAATATTTTTTTAAAAAAGAAAAAAAGAATCACCAACGGTGAGATTATATGATGGAACAATGTTCAAGAATATGCTTTTTTTTCGGGATAGATTATGAAATCAAAAAGTTCGCATTTTCTTTCATCTCCTAAGCTAGTGTTTGCACAAAACAAAAATACCTTCAAAATATTTGACAAAAAAGTAGGGAATTGGAGAAAACACCAATTATAAATCATTATACAACTAGAAATAAACAAACTAAAACAAAAAATCATTCTCAAAATTAAGCAAAAACTGAGTAGAATAAGATCACTAAATAAACTAGATTATTTCATGTTTATATGAAGTTTATTTGTCAAAGACAATACAAAGCTAAATTATAATTTAGCCGGTAACATAAAAAAACTCATAAATAAACAGTAAAAAACCATACATATACATACAAACAACCCATAAATAAACCATAAAAAAACCATACATATACATACAAAATATCAATTCACACAAAACATTCAATCAGATAATAAAAAAAAAAAAAATCAACAAAGTAAACCATATAATCCCCATACATATACTTGAAAACTATCCTAAAAGTCTACCCGAATGTCGGATTTTGCTAGATCTGAGACCACCAATTGCAATTGACCTGTGGAAGCACTGCCGCTTGGGCGGGCGCCTTTCTTCTCGCTTCGTTGAAGGCAGAGATGATAGAAGGTTAGGCGGTTTGATCTCCAGGGTCGAATGCAGCGGGCGGAGGCGTGGCGTGGCGGTGCGAAGGGGAGATTAAATTCCGGAGAGAGCCGACGACATAAAGGCCTCCGAGAAAACGGCCAAGATCTACTTTGTTCGCGGCGATACAGCTACGGCTACGGCTGCTACAGATCTTGTCTGGCTTTGCTTAGTTGCTTGTTTGGGGTTTGAGAATTTTGGATTTTAAAAGAAAAATATTGAATTAAATGGAAATTTCAGATCTTGTCTACATACGAATGAAAGAAAGAAGAGGTTCAGAAAAGGAAATAATCAGTGAAAGAAACCGTATAAATGCGTTTAAAAATGAAGTTTCGTAGAAAGGGAGATGATTAAATTGTCTCGTCCGGTGGGTAATCATCTCTAAATATTACTAGGGACACAAATCCGTAATATAGATTACCAAAAACTGCCGACTATAATTATTCATTAGTTAATTAAGTGCGAAAGCCTCTAATCAGCCAGACAAGTAATGGGCCATCCACGCACAAAAACGGAGCCATGCCAAGTTACTTACTGCTTCAGCATTTTCATCATTTATTCCCATCCTTTTCATTCTCTCAATCCCTTCAGGGGACCTGTTCATGAAGGCGTGCCCGACTCTCTTATAAATGAACACCTCATGTTCGACAACCCTCACTTCAAATGTGAAACGTTATGTTGTCTGGAACAAAGTTATGTACTAAGAAACAAAATATAAACAAAAAATAAAGATACCCCTTTTAGTCATCAAGTATTTAGTTATAGTATATTGGCAGCATAACACAGAGAATATTATATCATAGGTGTGGTTTGCCAATGGCTCAAAAGTTAATAAAAGTACATATAAATAAAGTTCTAGACATAAAGCCAAAAATCAGTGTTTCAGGCAACAAGTGATGATACTGATAGTTGGAGCATCTAAGTCATTGGTGAAGTTTTGACCTTCTGGGGGTGGTTTAATATGCTGAGGAACAATTTGTTGCACGAGGAACTACATAATCAGAAACCATTTAAGTATGGCTAGGATATAAAACATATGAAAATTGAGAATTGTTTCATTAAATCAAGATTCATGTTTGAAAACCAAGGTAGTTAGAATTCGAAATTTGTTTGCTTCTAGATTTAAAGAAATTTATCAAGAAACTTCAAGTACAATATCTCGAATCCTTTTAATGTAGAAATTAAGACAGGAAATGAAAGTTCCAAAATATCTACATGTTAATCGTTATCAAAGAGAATCATGTAGGAAGACAAAAGAATCTCAAATATACACCGATCATACCTCAACATCCAAAAAACCAGCAAAGGTATCACGTTGACCAAAGTGAGCCTGCACGGGTGCCTTAGCTTCGGTGACGTCCGCAAGCTCAGGCGAAGGCACTCCATAAAATGATGCCACAACATCAACCCCCGGGACCAATACAGAACTTGCAATAGCTAGGGCACTACCCATGCTAAACCCAGTAACACCAACCTAAAGAAAATCTTACTAGTAAAACAAGTAGGAATTATAGCTGTGCACTTGCACAGAGTTGTGTCACCTCAAAAATGAGCTAAGTGGAGTAAAATTATCGTAAGTCATAAATGTATTCTTTGAGGGTCCTCACAATGTAAAAGTGCTCAGTTTGAGCAACTTCAGTAAAAAGCGAAGTAGTTTTGACAACTCATAGTGTCCAACGACTATTCATGCAATAAAAGTTTTCAAACTCCTAATATGGCATGGAATAAAACTCATAACATAAAATCAAAGATTCAAATCATTGACGGAACAGGTGGCGGGTTATGACTTATGCATATCACCTAATGATAAGGATTCGTGGTTATAAGGAAATAAAGAGATACTAAAGTTCCAAACTTTCTTTCTTCTTACATTGAAAGATTCATCATACATTGAGAAATCTCATTGCCTAGCACAATGTCAATTGGAATATGAAAACTACGTCAATATAGATACAGGTTTATTTCTCAACACAACTAAAAGAAAGTTAAAAACACTAGTAATTAGCACCGAATATGGACTTCTTTATAGATTTCTGCAGACAACTATGAAATTCAGACATTATAAAATGCCATACACCTTCTTAGAACCTTTTTCCTTGAGCCAGTTGACACCTGTACCCGAAACCGACACAGGTGGGTAGGTTTCAATATCCTTCACCGCACCTTTCCAGTCAAGACCATCCATCAAGTGTTGAGCTTCAGCAGCACCTAGACCAACCTTCCCCCTGTACAAGCTATCGACAAGAAAAGGAAAAGGAAAAGGAAAAGGATAAGATATAGACATCTACTAATCCCTTAAGAGAAAATTACAACCATAAACCAAATAGAATAATAAACATCAGAAAAAAGGGTAAATCTCAACTTGCATGAACAATACTCTGTTTCTTACTCTGGTATCAATGCTTTGTAACCCTTATCGAACCGGGCAATCTTTTGGGCATGATTCTTGATCTCAAAATCAACACCCCACCATACGTGAAGCACAACAATCCCCGGTGCATCATCTCTCCCAATGACATAGGCGGCGAATGTCTACTCAACAAATTTTCCAATCAGGAAATATCTCAAAAACATACATAGCTAAATGCAAAAGCTTAAACGTATCCATTTGACACCATAAAACAAAATGAAATACAGGTGAAATCCATCCACATAGATATCAATTTCTAACCATTAATGTTTTTGATAGAGAAACACAGAATGTAATTAAGGGGGTTGTATTCAATTGTAACTTTTAGAGACTTTTTAAGACTTTTAGAATTTTGATGTATTCAATTAGAACTTTTAAAAACTTTTAAAAAGTTTACATGTATTCAATTGAGACTTTTAATGACTTTTAATAAGTCTCTAAAAGTCTCAGGGTATTCAATTAAAACATTCTGAGAGTCTTTATAAGTCACCCGATATTCAAAACAGAAAGACTTTGTGAGACTTTTTAAATTTTGAGACTTTTGGAGACTTTTGTAACAAAATTACAAAGGAAAAATTTCAACAGAAATCTCATCAATATTGGTGAGATTTTGCTGGACTTATGTGACTCTTTTCACGCTCTCTTTCTTTTTTCTTTCTAACACGACTTTGTATCTCATATCATTTTCATGCTCTATTATTTTACTTATTTATTTTGATACCTTGTGTAAGTTTTATTTTCATTACATATTATTGTGATCTTTTTGTTTTATATATTCTTTATTATGCTTATTTTATGTGTGAATACCTTATTCTCTCATTTTGTTAACTTGTGAATTTGACTTTTCAAAGGTTAATGCTTCCATAGTTGCACTTGCAAATAATTTATTTGTTCTTTCTTTTTATTTGTAAATATTTATTTCAAAATATTAAAAAAATATTTTATTTTCAAATAGTTTATTTGTTAATATTGAAATATTTTGAATATTATTGATAATTTATAAGATACAATTACTGTTTTTCGGCATGTTTGTATCTTGTAAAAATATAACCTAATAATATTTTTCTAATATAACAACATTATGCAAAAAACATAAAAAATAAAATCAATAAATAATTAAATAAATATATCTTAATTTGAGTTGATTATAAGTGTCGTTATAGTAGAGATGTCTAACACATATTTGATCTTGTACTCTTTTAACAAACAAATGTAAGGCCCTGCTCGATTCGACTCGTTGAAGCTCGGATCGATTTACTCGTTTGATAAATCTAAAATCCTAAACAATTTGTTCGTGAATAACTCATTTCGCATAAAAATGAGTTTTTTCATAAATTTTTAGAGGATTAATATATACATCTTTTTGTTTTTTCATTTATTCTTGTTTATATTAGTTATTATGTTATGTTTATTAATATTATATTCAAACATAATATTATAACTGCAAGTATATAAAAGTCTCAATAAGTTTTAAAAAGTCCATTATGAAAGTCTTAAAAAGTCACTGATGAAAATTCTCTGAAAGTCACAAAAAGTCCACCAAAGTCATGAAAGTTCTACAAAGTCCACAAAAGTTATCAAATTTAAAAAGTTTTAAAAAGTCCATAAAAATCTCAATTGAATGCACCCTCCTAAATTTATAAACAGCCAAAGAACCCACACCAATTTTGCAAATGATTACTGTACACAAGGAGATATTCACTAAAAAGTTCCATATATCTCTTCCCGAATCAAAACTAATAAATAATATATTAGACCAAAGAAACCCTAACTAAAGAAAGTGTAAACCATTTTTGTTCTACAAATTGTGAAAACGATGGAGCCAAGAAGTGATGGAGATAAGGATGTTTAAAATTTTTAATTATTATTATTATTATTATTATTATTATTATTATTATTATTAGTGGTATTATAGATTTGTTAGGAAATTTATTATTTATCATTTTGTTAGGATTCTTGTCTTGTTAGACAAGTTAGTATTATTAGAGATCTTGTCTTGTTGGACAAGTTAGGAATAGGGTCTTGGAGTCTTATTTAAAGGACTCATCATATATTGTTTTAGTCAGTTGAAGATGAAAAAAAGAATGAATTGATTGTGAGTTTTATCGAGAGAGTATCTCGTTTTACGTGTTTTACGAGAGAGTATCTCGTTTACTCGTTTATCCTTCCCACTCGTACGCATTCCCTACATCAGTTGGTATCAGAGCCAGTACGATCGCGATGTCGCCGGGACGAGAAGATGTCGTAAACGAACAACGTGATGCAACCTTCAACGATCGGTTTCAACAGATTGATTACCGATTTCAAGAGTTGGACGTGCGTTTCACGGATTGGTTTGCAGATCTTTCCACGGGGATCGAGGATGTGTGTTTGACGCCGAACAACGTGATTGCTACGGATTTGCAGATGAACCGTGCCACCGGTGACCAGGGTGTGCGCGGGGGAGTTCACGGAGGAAGTGGAAGTCGTGGTCCAGGCGGGGCGCCCCGTCGACGATCTCCACAACCACCGTCTGGCGATGCAGATGGCGAGGAGACCATCTTGGAGGTGGATCCCTTCGGAGAGTGGCCGCCTCCGCCCGTCGAGACTAAGCTCGTTGCTG